TATTATATTATATTTATTTTTACATCCTTTTGTGCATTTTTTCATCTCACTTGTAATCCCTTGGGCTTCCCATCACCAAATCACCCTGTCAAATGCTTTCGACTTTAGGTGGGGACTATTCGTGGTGACGCAATAAATACTCACAGTGCACTAAACTCATAGATGATTTATTGCTTTAAGTAACTAAACAAGAAAGAGAAGAGACAGGCTGTTGTTCTGGGCAAGACAATCAGGCACCCTCTCTCCAGGTTTGCCAGTCGCGTCTACTTAAAGCCTTCACGATACTTTCTGGACAATATAAACACGTGACAGCGTACGTGGGAAACAACTGGGCCAATGACACACTGATTAAAATAGCACATGACAAGGACTCTCAGCCAGCCGGCTCACTCTGAAATGACAGAAAGAACGTGTGTGTGCAGGATGTGCTGGATACAAAATGTTTTTTAGAATGATTTTTGGCATTAATACTAATACAGGATACTTCCTTGGACATTCTGCAAGAGCAGGTGCACAAACAGAATTACCGCTTCACTTCCAGATTACCAGTATCTACGGGAATACGTTGAGAAAAGCCAGGAGGCAGGGCACCTCCCTCCCCAGTGTCACTTTCCTCGCTGAAGCAGGAGGGTCTGAGCGGTCTCGGCGGGGGTCCCCGAGTTGTTCAAGCCACCACTGGCTGCAGAGAGCAGCAGGCGATGACACAGGGTGTGGAAACAGACCTCCGGCTTAGTCTGCAGCCAGGGATTTGCCCTGAAAGCTCCCTGGAGTGCAGCAGGAGTGGGGAACACAGGCACTGGGTGGTCCAGACCCTCCCCTAGGTCTAGAAGAAGCCACCGGACCGTCTTGCCATTGAACACTGGGGAAACGACACTTTGAAATGGATGTGCAGGAACTAACACTGTCAGGGACCCCGCCTGGGAGGGCCTGGGTCTGCTCGCAAGGAGAGGTCAAGCCAAGCCAAAGGGTAACACGGCAGCCCCTGGCCCCGCTGCTGGCACCAGGCCTCGGGTCTACCAGCTCGCCAGCCTCAGGTCCACGGCCAAGACTCAGTTGTCTTCTGCCGCCGTGGGCTCCACAGGCCCTTCCCCGGGGACCCCCTCCCAGGTCTCCTCCCCGGGGTTGGAAACCAAGTGCTCCGAGCACACAGGGCCGTTGTGCATGGTCCCGCCCTCCGCCCACAGCCGGCCAGGGGGACACAGTTTCTCCCCTGTGACCTCTCCAACGGGGACCCTCATCTCCTCCGAGGTTCCAGCCCCCTGCTGCCGGCTGGCCACACAGTTCCCCACGTCTCCCGCTTTGGAAAACTGGTCTTCTAGGTTCTTGTTGTTTTCTTCTGCTTGTCGCTTGTCTCTGGTGCTGAGTTTCCCTTTGGATTTCCTCATCTGCCTGTTGTGCATGTCTTCGCGGGAGAATCGCCACTGGAACTGGAGATCAGAGAGAAGGGGGGTCAGGAAGCGCGGACGCCAGGAGCCTCACAGCGGCATGTTTTCGCGTTCACAGCCCCATGGCATCCCCGAGCTAGACAGGATTCCGGAAACCCCGAGAGCGCGATGGCTGCAAGCCGGGGTTGTACCCCGATACCTCCCACCCACCTCGAGCATCTGCCAGATACTTCCAGGTGCATTTTACACATGATTTCAGGGCTGCGTGGGGCAGAGGGGTCTATTGTTCAGTTGGCGCCTTTCCAAAAGCTGCAGACAGGTCTCCTGAAAGCCGATCACTTAGCGCCCAGGATGAGAAGAGACCAGGGCCTGCCCTTCCAGGTGCCGGCTCCCGCTACTCCCTTCCGTCCTGAGAAGGTGGACCAGGCACTGGGCGGTTGCTCACCTGAGCCACTGAGTGAGGAGGCACAGAACTGGGGTGGGGCCGTGTGGAGCCCCCTCTGCTGAGAGCCCCACCCTCACCGAAGGCCACCCTCCCTTCAGAGGGGACAGACCATGGCCAAGGAACCGTGGGACACGCGCCCAGGCCCCGGCCCCAGCCGAGGCAGCTCTGAAAAGCCCTCCCCGCTGGCTTGAGCTACCTGGAGGGAGGCTGCTCCCCAGCGACTCTTTCAGCTGAGTGTTATTCCATGCGAGGAGGGTGGCGGGGGTGGGGTGAGAGAGAACCAGGGAGGCGCAGTCAGTGCTGGGCTGGGTAAGAGCCGGGTCTTTTGGAGCTGTGGGGTGAGAGCTCCTGTGTGAGGTCCCCCCCCCCACTGGCCTAACTGCCCCATCTCAGTGCTCCATCTATACATTGGAGATACTGAAATCGAACAAATCAAGGCTGGTAACTTGATTTTTCTGGAGAATCAAGGTTGGCAACTTTTTCTGTAGAAGTCATAGAATGAATAGGTTAGGTTCTGCAGGCCATCTGGTCACCCCGCCGCATTATACTGTTACGGAGCCAAGCAGGCAGAGGCAACGTGTGCGTGAGTGTGGCTGTGCCAGTAAACGTGGTCTACGGAGTCAGGTATGGGATGGGCTGGGATGGCCACAAATCAGCCCACCATGCTCTGCACCCGAGGGTGCCGATATGGAGTAACCCAGTGAGGGGCTTAGCACTGTGCCCTGCACACAGTGTGCCAGCTGTGTTCTTATGGCCAATGCTTCATGTGAGGGCAAGGGGCCAGGGCGGCCACCTGCCCCTTGGCCCCTGGGGTACTGCATGGGGCCTGGCATGGAGAGAGGCCCTTGCAGGCTGAAGGAAAGAGGACCGAGCCCAGCCATGCCAGGATCCTGGGTTTCAGTTTGGGCCCGTCCCAGCACGGGCCTTGGCTTGGGTGCACCCACACACATCATCTCTGGTCTAGCCCCAGAAAGAGAGATGAGTTTGAGGAACACAAGGGGAAAGCTTTCAATGTCCTGCTGAGACAGCCGACTGCCAGAACCCCTTCCCGAGGAAGAGCGCCCCAGAGCCTGTACACCTGGAGTGGACTCAGGCCAGTGCCTGAGACAGGCACGCGGGAAGGGGGTGGCCTCTGGGTTTACATAAGAGGACAGTGTTCTGTGGGCTCCTCTTTCCACTCCCAAACATGAGGGGCTCCTCTCGGTCTTCCCGAGTAAAGGTCCCTCTGACCTGCCATCAGGAGGGGCATCTCCAGAATGTTCTCCACCTGGGGCCTGCTCCCTACACCCCCACCCCACCCCCCACCACAGGCAGGCGCCAGAGAGTCCTGGGAGGCGCACTGGGGTGGGAGCTGCCATAACAGGTCCAGGACACACCAGGCCCAGCTGTGAAAGGACAAGAACAAGAGAGAAGGCCCCGAAGACAGAGAGCTGGGCTGTGAGAGCTGGGCTGGTGGGCACGAGAGTGGGGCCCCCGCGGGAGGGAGGTCTCACTGGGAGGAGGCAACAGTACTACAGGGCAGGCCCAGGGGGCCTGAAGGTTCAGCGCGGGGCCCTGAGCTCCCCGAAAAGTCCCCACCACCAGCTTTTCTTTCACTTCAGTCACAACACGTTGGTTTCCCCCCAATACAAAATGAACTATTAGGCATTCTGTGACTAAAAGAAAATGTAGGGGAGCCTTCAGCCCTGAGTTCTTGGCTAGCTGGATGGGGGTGGGGGCTGAATGCAGAGTCACCATGCATGGGAAACGATATCTTAAAGCTTTACCACACTGTAAATAATTCTGAGTGCTGTGCTAGGAAGAACCAAAAATATGCTATGCAAATTTTAAAAAAGCTGCCACCTCAGCAGAGCCTTCGGTGGGAAAGACCTATTCCTCAAATAAAACACTGGCCTGACCACTCACCACATCTGAGATTCAACCCATCACAGCAATCTTGGACAGTACACTCCTTCGGACAAGACAGGTCAATTTGAATATCCCGTCACGGTAAAGGGTGTGTGGGCCTGCTGTGTTAGGATTTCACATTGCTCTCTCACTCCGGCCTCCCTGAACATCCCCCAGATGAAGTCTCCTACAATGTGTCTCCCCTGGCTGGAGACCCTCTTTTTCAAATTCTCTCCCATGGAGCTGAGTGGCTCCCTTTGGGGGCTGGCTCAAGCTTCTACCAACCAAGCCATGAGTTGCTGACCATGGAATCTCTCGCCGTACCTTAGAAGCCCCGGGCCCCCTCCCCCAAATGGTGTCTACTTCTGCCAAGACCCCAGCAGTCATCCCAAGGCCCTGGGGCTGTCAGTATGGACGTTAACTCCAGCCTGGGTACACCTGCTGCCTCCACCACCACCTTCCGGGGCTCTCGGCACGAGTGTACGGATGGTAACTGCTGCCTTGTCAGGCACGGTGCCCATTCTGACCCAAATGGAAGGTTCTCTCATTTTTCAATCCATGTCTCTGAGCAGAATCTCCCCTTTTGCATGTTGGTGGACAACAGCCTGCCTGAACACAGCACCTGAGAGGCAGTCAACTACCAGGAGGGAGGGAGTTTTGCTCTTGCCAAAAAAGTGGCGAGACAGCCTGGGCGGAAAGGCCCTAGATACTCTAAGGTCAAAGCATCAGAGTGTGGCAGCTAAGACTGGTTGAAACCCCAGTTCTGGTACTCCTTGGCTGTCCCAAAGAAGCTTGTCACCTCGTGCTCAAATTCCTCCTCTTTGAACCCAGCTTTGTTGACTTTGCCTCTGAGGCTGAGGGGTACACTCTGGGGCCCGTTCTCTCTGTAGCTTGTGGGAATGTCCGCTGAGGATTCCCTCTGTGCCGACGCCCTCCTCCACACTTGGTAATTCCTAAAGCCGGCTCAGATACTCAGATACTCAGGGACCGTCCTTGCTCAATAAGTAGCACTCGCGTGGACCCTCTGGACATCTGGCCACATCCAGTTTCTGGTGGAAGATCACATTTTCCTGCTGCGACCTAACACAGGAGCACACAGCCTGTGCAAAGGGCCTGTGGCAGTCACACTGGCCACTTTCCCCAGGGACCCGGCTGGACTGCTGGGTGGAGAAGCATTTGGAATTGTCAGCGCTGAGCTAGATGGGAACTCTCCCCACCAACATTTTCGATCCTTCAGAACTGTCACAGAAAAATCTGCAAAGCTAAATGCCTTCTAGGGCTGAGCTGCTGTCTGTGTCTCAGATGGGGTGTGGTCTCGTCACTGAATTTCCCAAGTGGTTGGTGCCCTCTGTCACCACAGTTGTCAGAAGTACTGCAGTCAGGGATCTTGGAGGCTCTGGCTTGAGTCTTCTCTTTTTCTCCTACCCTCCTTGGCAGGGGTATTCTAAAAAAGGGAGGTGGGAGTGGCCAGAACTCAGGGCCTGTGTAATCTAAAAGCTAAACTCTGAGCTATGAAGCTGCCACATGTAAAACACCTGCCTTGGGAAGAACAAGAACATGCTAAGGTACTAACTGTGTGTCTCACACAGTGTCTAGGTGTCCCATGGCCCTGAACCCCCAAGCAATCCTCTCACTAGGCATTATTAGAACCACTCTATAGATGACCACATAGAGGCTCAGAGAGGTTAAGTCACTTGCCCAAAGTCACACAGCTAGAAAACAAAGAGTTGGACTTCAAACACAGGTGTCTCTAATGCCATGTTCTCTTTCCAACCCTTCATTTTGGTTGAGCGACAGGCTTCAGGCTCTGGCTGTAGAGAGAAGGCAGGAGAGAAGTGAAGGGAGAGGCCACACTTGGAAGGGCTCAGTCCCAGGCAGGAGAGACCCAGCTTTCAGGCTGCATCTGCTAGGTCAGGAGTCTTACTCATCAGGGTGACTGACCAGCTAATGGAAGTCCAGATTTCACTGCCATTAAGGATACTTTGGTTTGGCTTATTAAAACATGTACCTACACTGAGGGCTCCTGACAGGCCCATTTTTAAAAAATCAATGATACATGTGAAGGGAGGCCCAGAGGTGAACCTGGAAGGGCCTGAATTCTTCAGGACTTATGAGGCTCTCATCAAACAGGCCGCCCACCTGACCTGAGTTTCTGACTCTGAAGGGTCTGGGGAGGGAGGTAGAAGCCCCCAGGTGAGGCAGATGCCTCTGGCTGCAATTTGATAACCTTGAGCTTCACAAAGCCCCTGGGCAGAGCTTAGCTGTGAGCAAAAATAGCCGGGAAGGACCCCCTGGCCAGCTCCCACCTCAGCTCCGCAGGCCGAGGAAGAGCTTCATCTTTCCCGTCTGCCACCCTGCACCCTCTTCCTTCACCAGCCAAGCTTCTGTGCCCCTGAGCCAGGCACACTCCTGGTCCTTAACAAACAGCAAAAACTATAGCTGGCCTTGAATATGGGTCCCTGGGACTGCACAAGTCCACTTTCACTAGGATTTCCTACAAAATACTGATGGAATTCATAGATCCAGTCCAATACATTTTCCTGGTTTCCCTTAACATTTTCCCTCTAGCTCACTTTACTGTAAGAATCCAGCAGATAATGCAGAGAACACGCACAATACATGTTCGTCGATTCCATCACCCACAGGTCCCCGGCAGGGTCTCAGGAGTTAAGTTTTGAGGAGTGAGAAGCTGCAGTGGATTTCTGACTGTGTCGGGGGTGGGGCTGTGTCAGTGCTGCCTGTAGTGCAGGCACCCACAGGGGGAACAGGGGGTGCTGGCTGGGCGCCGTGGGGTCTGGGAAGCTGGCAGGCCTCCCAGGCCCCGCTGAAGCTTTGCGCTCTTCCTCTGGCCTTTCTCAGTCTCATGTCTTGTGTGGTCTCGCCCTTTTAGCCGTCACCTCTAGGCACAGGTGTGGGCATTTGCACACCTGGGCCCAGGTGTCCGTAATCAAAAGTGGGCGTGCCCTGGGCATCCACGCGAGCGGCGTGAGGGCGGAAAAACCTCAAAGCTACGTTGGCTCTACGCTACCAAACCCTAAGTTGTTCATAAGGCAACCAGACTTCAGATCCTGAGGTTTGGAAAGGAGGCAGCTCAGAGGGCAGGCGGAGAGGCAGGGCTGTGACGGTCCCCTGGCGAGGGGCACTGTCGTGGTCACCGCCACGGGCTGAAAGGCCCAGTCTGGAGCCTGCAGCCCGTGTCTTGAGCAGCACCAATACACCAGCCACAGCAAAACAGGCTGCCGGTGCCTGGCCTTCCCCCAGACGGTGTCTGGGACTCTCGGGGGTCCGCTAAGCGGTGAGTGACAGTGGCCTAAGCCAATCCATCTTGCAGCCGGCTCTGACTGCTCCTGGTGCTTAATGGTGGATTTGGCGGCTGCCTTCTGGTCCTCTCTGCTGTCACCTGTCATATTAGCATCTCAGCTTGGAGAGAGCCCTTCCTCTGCACCCCGCCCCATCTGGCTGCCAGGCGCCATTTCCTTGGCGTTCCTCCCACGAGTGGGCCCCACTCCCCTCCAGATTTGTTGGCTGGCGAGGGGCTGCTCCAATCTGTTCACTTGCTAGGTGCTCCTGTCTGGGCTCCATGTCCGAAGAACAGGAGAAAGCAGGAGCTGGGGGGGCAGGGAATGGTGCCAGGCAGAACGAGAGAGGCAGGTCCAGCAGCCTCTGCTGGCAAGCGTGGCCTTGGCCGTCAAAGGGGAGCAAGCGGGCTCCAGGTGACACCTGGCTGGGGCTTCGGCAAGGTCATTCGGCTCATTGACCTCTTCCCAAGTAATGGGGAACCCCCCGCGGGAAACTGCAGGAAAGCATCAAAATCATCTGACACAAGCAGCGGGCGTGGACTCAGTCAACATAGGAGCCACAGGAGAAGTCCTAAGCGCCCCCGTCTCTAGCATGCTCTGTGTCCAGGACTTGAGGAAGAAGGCCCCAGGGACCTGCAGGACAGCCCGGCCTCTGAAACATCCGCCATTGTCACTCAGAGCCTTGGGCATGTCCCCAAGGGGCGCTGGCAGGTGCTGTCCGCCAAGACCATGAAACGTGGATGCCCCAAGGGTTCCAACGGGCGGGCCAGAGCCCCAACCGGCTTGTCATGAGAGTCTGGTCCGAGCAGCTGGCCCTGAGCTCAAGCCGTCCCCGCCCGCCCTGTCCCCTCAAACTGCAGCTGACTTCACACTCCTATTTTCAGCCCGGTGGGAGGAGCTGGCGGCTCAAGCATCCAGAATCTCTCGTCTGCTCCTGGCCTGGCCAGCAGGGCCTGAGTGCACCAGGACATCCAGCGCGTTCGCCGGTTCTGGTGGGACTGCCAGGGGACTCAGGTGCTCCTGGGGTACTAAGAGCCCTCAGGAGTCAGAGCTGGCTGCCCACCAAACTTCTGCAGAACAGTCACCCCATGAGCACGGAGCCTTGCCAAGAGCAGAAGACATCAAGATCACTTACCTTGGACTCCTTTTTCTTGATTTTCTGAGGTAGACATGGTCTCTGAAGAAAGACAATCTGCTTGGTGGATACATTCCCCTCCCTGTAATACACACAGAGCTGAGTTAGGTTATACCTGGGGGAACCCCAAACCTCACACAACGTGCCATCCCTAACTTCATGAAGGCCACATACCCACGAAAAGGAAAGCAGTTGCCCAGCAGAGAGGGGTCCGGAACCCAAGTGTCCATCTCTGCCCCACCCCAACCAGCCTTGCTCCAAGAGGGCTATTCCTGGGACTACTTCAGGGGCCCAACAAAAGCTCTGTGGGTGTCCCCGCAGCATCAGCTTCATAGCTGTGAACTCCCCTTCCCTTGATGTGAAGTAACAGCTGGTTGGAAGCTCAGCCAAATGATGACAAATTGGATTCTTCAGTGAATCTCAACAGTGAGTCTTCAGGCCTCATCCAAATCTCTGTGATAATGAGGCTGAGGAGGGGCCTGGAGGCCAGAGGCAGGCAGGTAGAGTCGGACTGGGGAGGCACTTGGCACCGCCCATCAGCAGTTACAGGGGTGGAGGGTCACCCCGCTGCACAAGGGACCCCACAGCGCATGGTTGCTGGCCACACCAACTCCCCGACTCTGATCGGCCTCATCCCTGCTGGACGCAGGCTCAGGTCTCCTGCAGGGGCGTGGAGGGGTGGGCCCTGGCATTGACCATGGGTGAGGGGTTTCTGGAAGAGCTGCTCACTTTTCGGGGACAGTGAGTGAATGCTGTGTGTCCCAGGAAGACAGGGCCTCGGGGAGCCCCCTCTCAAAATGACAGCAACGCTGTCCAGGAGAGCACAGCTTTCTCCCAGCCCCGCTCGTCTGGCCATTTCCTGAAATCTCTTTTGCAGATGGCTTCTCTGCTGGGCTCCCCGCCACTGCATGGGGTCTCAGAGGCAAAGGAGGGGAGGGGAACATTTCTGATTTTGTTCAGGGTCGGGGATGGGCTATTTCCTACCAAGGAATGGGACTTCCACTGGGACAGACAGGAACAGAAGCTCTTAAGGAGCAGGCGGGAGGTGCCAGCAAGGATCTGTACTAGGAGCCTCCTGCTCCCGCCCCCGCTGCACTGCAGAGGAGTGTCACTGAGGGCACAGGGAGGCTTGTTCAGCAGGTGTGACCATCTGAGGCAGACGCCTGCCAGCCCCTCTGGGTCCAGCTCAGAAGGCGCTGGGGCTTCAGGTCTAAAGATGTTCTCATCGTGACTCCTGCCCTAGCAGAGGGAAGTCTTCGCAGCTCCATTTAGTGGGCCGGGAAACTGGCTCAAGAAGCTACAGGACTTGACCAAGCCAGACTGCTGGCGACTGGCGACCAGGGCTTGGGTGGGGACTTCGGGGCACAAATCCAGGATTCTTTCCACTGCGTCACCCTGTGTTCACAGAAGTCTTGCAAACAATATGAGGTTCCCAGAGCTCCAGGGCCCAAAGGTGCCTGCAGTCTGGCCACTTTTGCAAAGCCATCGAGTCTGGCTGTCAGATAGGGCTGGGTGTGTGGAGGTGCCCAGACGAGGCACTGACTGTCGCCTTCATTCCCAACCTGCCTGCGCTCTAGGGTGGGCGTCCCTGGGTCTCCATCCTCGCCTCATGTGGCGCATTACCCTGCAACGCTGAGTGGCAGCAGGACACTGGGAAGAGGAGGCCTGAGGGCCCCTGGTAGGGGGCGTCCCTGAGGTCAGCTAACAGGCGGCCTGGTCTAGGAGCAGGGCTGACTCCACAGGCGGTCTTCCCCATCCTGGCATGTGGCCTCAGTATGTGATGGCACCCGTGTGATCTCAGGCTTCTCATCTGCAAGGTGGGAATCCTATCCTATGTCTTTCAGCACTGGGGTCGCTGCGCTGAGCCCTCAGGCTCAGGGCAGGACGACAGAGCTGAGTGGACGAACGGCCACGAACACGTAATCATGAGGTGCCCAGCCAGGCCAAGAGTCCAGGCCTTCCCAGCCCCTCTTCCGGGCTCCAGCCAGCACCGTGCTCCTGACTGAGCCCTTCAACTGTCTGGAGGAGAGTGAGGTCACACTCTCCTCTGCTGTAAAGTGGGTCTAATTTAAAAATTCCACCCACAGAAGTTTCTGAGGACTAAGGGAGATTTATATACACCGGATGCACCTAACCCAGCAAAGGGCACAGAGTAGGCGCTGAATGTCTCGCACATCAGACCCCCGCAGGGCCCCTCAGCTGAGGCCACAGCTCAGCCTGGACATGCTGGGCCTTCGTGACTCACGGGCCCAGGGTGTCCTGAGGGGAGACTGGAGGATGCGCTAGTTGGAGACCGTAAGAGACCACGCATGAAGCAGTGGTCACGTACTAGGCACGTGCCTGCCTGGAGTGTCAGTAAAGAGAGTAAAATGACTTGTTGTTACCTGGTAGTCTTGATGACAGGAGTCGGCAGCACACAGGTGAGCTGCCAGCCATAGGCCGCCAGCGAGTTCAGCAGGGGGACGTAGTCTGTCTGCACCTCCACACCCTGGGGGAGAAAGGTCACTGTGAGGGCAGCAGGGGGCCCCCACCCTGGTCCACGCTGAGGGCCCGAGAGGCAACGGCTCCACCCACCGGCCCAATACAGCGAGGAGGGTGGGAGGCCGTGGCCTGGCCCGGCTCTGGCTCTGGTGGTTCTTGAAGTGTGTGAAGCCAAACTGCCACCGTGGGAGTCCTCTCCGGGCCACGACTCAGTCTGCAGTCGGCAAGGAACTAGAGCCAAAGGATTAATCCCTTCATTTTGTTTCGTTCTGCTCTGGACAAATAGCCTCCTGTGAGTTTCACGGAAGCTGCATCATCCCCTCTCGCCTCAAAGATGGATTCAGGCACCTGACAACACAGGTCTCTCAGGATGAATTTGGAGCGTGTCGCAGGAAGTTCAGTTAGAGTTGACAATGAAGCGGCAGTGACATCCAGCCACAGCAGGTAACCCCCCCCCCAAACAACACACACACATACTGTACACCCCCATACACATTCACCCCACATACGCCCCACAGCCACCATACTCCCTATACACCACACACTGCATAGCTTCACCTGTAACACACAGTAAAGAGGTAAATGAATCCGACCTGTGTTTGATTTCACATTAAAATCTCAGTCCTGCTCCCACAAAAGGCCACTGCCCGGGGGCCCACAGGCCTCTCTTTCTACTTCGGGTTCCCACTGGGGTTGAGAGAGCACCCCCACGCCTGACTCTGCTGGGCTCAATCTCTGTCACTGGATTCAGAGCATCTCAACATGTGCTCAGATTCTTTCCAATTGAGGAGGCCATGTGGACCCATGCAGCTAGTACCTCAGAGCCACAGAAGGGTCAAAGATGGACAGTGGCAGGACCCCGCAGTCAGAGCTCACAGTCCATGCACAAGCGTGCAAGCACCTGGGACACGTCATACCCGCTGGCAGTGCTACAAGGCCGACGATAAAGGATGCCCGCTGTGGTTTAGGTCGGCCTCGGGGGCTCACAGAGATTTGACAGGCAGAGTTGGGGAAGGAGGAGGCACCAGCAGGTGCCGAGGTCAAACCCATGTACAACCCAGCAGCACCCGTTGGTGTAGACCATCCCTGGGGAGTGGCTGTCCCACTGAAGGCCTGTGAGGGCCAGAACTGGCAGCTCATGTGGCTGCCCTGAGTTAGGGGCTGGACGGTGGTCTAGGGAACAACCCCGCCCCTTCAAATGGCTCCCAGAGCTCCTTGACCGCTGGTCTCAGCGTGGCGACCAAGTCAGCTGAACCCCAGGCGACTAATTCCTCCTTCCAGAGTTTGTGTCCGCATCTGTAGTAAATGTCTCAGTCTGAGCCAGCTCCTGAGAGTTAGAAATTTACACCAGACCTAGTCATTGGACACCCTAGGTTGGGGTCCTTCATCTGCGTGGTGAGGCACCCACCCGGGTGAGTCTTAGAATCACCTTCCAGATAATCAAGTTGGGTGCTGGCTTCTGCTGAAAGAAAAGACTGACACTCTGTGCCTAGTTCTATCAGCGGTTACCTCAAAAAGAAACTTCCCCACCAATCTCCATGGAAGGAGAGAGAGCAGAGGGCCAGCTATGAGGAAAGCTGTTGCAGGGAAAGGAAACAGCGGGAGAAGGGAGGAGAGAGAAGGGGACAATAAGGGAATAGAGAAGGGGGAGGAGGAAAGGAAGAAAAGAAAAGAGGCTTTAAGCATAATCAATATATTTAGAGGGGGAGACCTCATTCTGGCCCCGTCCCTGAAGCCCCCTGCAGACCAGAGATGACAGTTGATGACCAGTGTCACCCCCTTCTCTGCCTGACCCCTGGAGCACATGGCGACCTCCCTCCTAGACCAGCAGGACCAGTATCCTTCATGCTGGGCAAGGCCCGCACCCCCAGCCTTTGGTGGTTTTATCTGGGGGATCCCACCCCTCCCACGCATTTTCTCCATTAAAGAGGGGACTGCGGGACGTGTTAAATCCACACTCTCAAGCTTTGCGAGGTTATGATTACTTGGGTCTATCAAGAATAACCTTCCCACTTTATCAAGCACGGTGACAAACCTGCCACAATCAGACCGTAGTCATGGCAACCGGGACAAGCTTTGGCACCTCACAAAGCCCTGCGAGGCAGAATGGAGTCCTTTCATTGGTGACGCGGGGTTTCTCGAGGGCTCCCCAAGCCGCAGGACAATGGACGATCCCTGCTGCAGCCTGACCTGCCTGCTCAGACAGGCCCTGCTCAGACAGGCTGCCTCTCTTTTGCTCAATTTTATTGCATTTTGTCACTATCTTAAAGAGAAAGGCAGCAGGATTTCTCCCAAACAGTTCTTCCCCTCAGGGTAGGGGATGTCAGCCAGAGGGGACAGAATCGCAAAGACTAAAAGGAAAAGGGAAAACACAACAAAACACAACCCTGCTTGAGAGCTCAAGGTTCAGTCTCCAGTGTTAATATCTGGCTGTCACACAGGGAGTTGAAAAGTAAATTATAAATGGTAGGGGGTGAGGTGTGACACTCTGCCAGACTCTCCCGCCCCAACTATTGGGGCTGGACTTGATTTAATTAAGGCTAGATGTGGTTTTCCAGAAGCATCTATCAAAGCTGGTTTGTAGGTTACCAATAGCAAGAAGATGGCATTGCTATGACATGAGCCCCGTGCAGTTGGTGGAAGATGCTTTCAAGTCCATTAACACAAAGAGGTGGTCGGCACCTAACCGGGTGGAAGGTTCTCTTTGATCTGCTTTTCTGTGACACTCCAGTGAGGAGAGAAAGCCCAACAGACTCCAAAGCCAGCCTGCTTATCAAGTGAAGAGACGTTTCTTCCTGAGAGTAGGAGCAAAATTTTTTAATTAACTCTCCACTCTTCTGTGTGGATGTGTAATCTCTGATCACACCTGGAGTGTTACAAAAACGGAGCATGTCCTGCGGTTTTTGACTTGCATAAAAGGAACACATTTGTATTGACGGATCTTTTCGCCTTTGTTCCCTCTAATTTCTCTGCTGGTCCCAAATCAACTAAAGAAACAGACATCCAAGACAACCTTCCCCTAACCTCCAAAAATTAGGACAACAGAAGAGAGAGTTAAGAAATACATTTGTCTTTTCTTCATTCTTGAACAGACCCTACGTGCAGGGATATAAGTAGATGGTGACAAGTTGGTCCGATGAGAAAGTTGGTTGCTTTGCAATTCCTTCCTGTCTTTCAGTGCGTGGGAGTCATCTGGTAGAAAAGCAGCTGAAAATACTGTGCTCTCTCCACTGTATGTGCAGAGAGGAGCTCACTTTCCCATGGCAGCAAAGTGCTCAGGGTCAACTTGAGGAAGATCCCTGCTTCTGCAAAGAGTGATTTGGGGACCGGGTGTCTCTGTTCCCCCCACTGCCACAGCTGGGCTGTGTGGCCCCCCTCTGCCCTTCACTGGGAGGGCGTATGAAAAAGAGCCCTGCAAAGCGTCCTTCTTAAAGCTCCTTACACACTAGTGCCCAACGCTTCTTGGCGGGGTCCATTTATACTGCCACGTCTTTACTCAACCAATTTTAGATCTTTTCACTTCCTACCATGGGAAATAAAGGTTAAAAGTTTCCATACACAGGTCTCACTTCCTCCTTGATGCCCAGAATGGTTTATAATTAAAAGTCAGGGCCCTCCCTGGTGCGCAGCGGGTTAAAGCACTGCACTAAGAAGCTTAAGCCACTTCCGCATGAGTTCGATTCCCGCCTGCCCCGGAGGTGACCACATGGCGTGGCAGACCTCTCCTGACCCGCCCGCTGCTCTCCTTAGCAGTGTACTTCATCGATCTGCCTGTTCTGCTCCCCACTCTGTCTTTGGTGAAGCCTCTCACCCTCCACATCTCTGGCCTGTACCCCAGTTCTGTATGAATAAATAAATAAATCTTTAAAAAAATATATAATTAAAAGTCAGTCTTTGTGTTATTACTTTGCAAATACAGCCATCCCTCTGTGTCTGTGGGTCCTGCCTCCTGAATTCATCCCACCCCAGGTCAAGAATACATGCCATGTTGTTAAGCCTATTATAGTTGTGCCTGCCCCGAACATATTCAGATTTTTTTTCTTCTCATTATTCCCTAAATTATAATAATTATTTGCATGGCTTTATAGTATAATAATTATTTACATGGCATTTACATTGTATTCAGTATTATAAGGAACCTAGGGATGATTTCAAGCACACAGGAGGATGTTTGTAGGTTATGTGTAAATGCACTCCACTTTATACAAAGGACTTGAGCATCCTAGAATTTGGGTGTTGTAGGGGGTATTGGAACCAACCCCTCTCAGATACTGAGGGCAGCTTTATTACTCATTGGAGTGTCAGTCAATGAGTCTTCTTTTTTATATAGTCCTTTGCTTTTCCTGGAGTTTATTGTAATATCTATTTTTTTCACCTGCCTGAGTGTACATGAACCCATCGCTAATGCACTCCAGATGTTCCAACACTACTATTTTGTACCCATCTGTAAACATCCCATGTGCTTAAACACCTGAGCTCTATTTCCGCCCACTTGGAGACATCATTTTTTGGGCCTTCTGTACCATTACTCCAGTCCAGCTTGGCTTTGTTCTCCAGCCTGGGTTCTCCCTCCTCCACCGTCTATGCCTGGTGTTTTTCTTTCTTGGTTTTCTCATTTTGCTGGAGCACATTCTCGAGCAGTTCTCTGGAAAGCAATGCCCTAGAATTCATTTGAACCCCTGCATTTCCAGAAACATTTTAGTCTTCACCCTTAACGAACAGTGTGAGTGTCAGAGATTGGGCTGAAATCTATTTTCCTGTTACAGTCTGAAAGCATTGTTCCATGAGCTTCTAGAATCAGCACTGCTACCGTGGTAGCTATTTTGATTACTAATACTCTGACCATAACGTGTTCTGTTGTGTAAAATCTTAGAAGTTCAGAGTTCACAAAGAACCATAGTGGCTGTTTTCTACTCTTAGGGCAAACTACCTAATGGACTTAGCATCTCAGAATTCCATCCTTCCTTTTTGTAAAGTGTTCTGTTTTGTTCCTTTGATAACATCTAA